GACTCCAGGGAGCAGCGCTGGGTGAAGGCCTTGGCGCAGACGTGGCAGCGGTAGGGGCGGATGCCTGCAACGAGGGGGCCGGGGTTAGGGGACAGAGAGAACCCAGGACCTAACCTCTCTCCCGTCCACACACAAACCTTCCCCCCCAAATCGGGGGGTGTCAACGCAGGCTAATGGGCACAGAAGCAGGATGATCCGGGGTAGGGCACCAACCGAGCACTTGGGAGACCTGGGTTCAGGTCCCTGATTTGTCCCAGAGGCCCTGCGGGACCTTGGCAGAATCCCACCTACACACAACTCTCAGATCTGGCTTTGCCAGCGCTTTAAACCGGGACTAGCTGGGTTCTGCTCTAAGCTGCCCACTTTGTGCAGCGTGGACCCAGGCTACTTACCTGGGGTCCTCCAATGCTTTCCCATAATTCCCCTGGGGCTGCCTTTTCCTGCCATTCCACCTAGCTCCCCTCTCCTGCCCCGGGAGTCCACAAGGGAGAGGGAGAAGGAGCCTAATTATAAGGGACCTAGGCAGAAGGGAGGGACTGAGTCGAAGAGCCTCCCCGTTTTGCTGCTTCCCAAGCGCAGCCCCAGCCTCACCGGTGTGGGTCCGCGTGTGTCTCTTCAGATCGAAGGTGTCGTTGAAGCCCTTGCCGCAGTACCGGCAGACGTGCTTCTTGACCAAGCTGTGGCACTTCAGGTGGCGGGTCAGCATGCGCTGCAGCGGGAAGGCCTTGCTGCACACAGGGCAGGGGAAGTCGCCCGGCCCCTGGGGGCCTTTCCCCTGCAAAAGGGAGCGGGGGGGGGGGAAATGGAGCAGGTGGGGAGCACTGCCCCGGCCGGCTCCTGACAGAGCTGCTGGGTCAAGCGGTGTCGCTTGTTGGTTTGAAAATCTGTATGCCCCCACTTTCCCTTCCCCCCCATGCCAGGGGCTCTCGGTGCCCCCACATTCCTCCTCCCATGTCAGGGGCTCGGTGTGCCCAATCCCCTTTTCCCACCTGTCTCGGGGGAAGAAAACACCCCATGTTTCCACAACCAGGGTCATGGCAACCATTGGGATCTTCCCCTCACGGCTGATTACGATCTAACCCTGGTCGTGCCTGAGGGGGAGCGTGATCACAACCCTACAGGAAGGGGGGAGGGGTGTGGCCCACCCTATGCAGGCACACGGGCAGCCATGCTGGGTCCGGTTTTATTCTCGGACAGCCCCAGGGGCTTCAAAGGAGCTGTACGGGCTGGAGCGAAACCTCCTCCCTCCAGCCTGGGAGAAAGGTTTTCTATCCTGGGTACTCACTACATTTCCCCTTTGGGCAAGGTCATGAGGTGCAGCGGTTAGCGCAAGCAACAGGGAATGGGGGGCGGGGGGGTGGTCTATTGCTGGCTTCTCCACTGACTCACTCTGAAGCTTCGTCCTCAGCCATGGCCATACGACCCAGGAGTCCCGATTCTCAGTCACCCTGAACTGCTAAACCCGCTCCCCAGAGCTGAGGACAGAACCCAGGCGTCCCGAGTCCCAGCCCGGCCCCCACCCTAACCACTAGTCTCCCCTCCCCTCTCAGAGCTAGGAACAGAACCCATGATCCTCACCCAACCCCCTTACACCCCATAGCTGGAGACAGAACCCAGGAGTCCTGACTCCCAGCCCGCCCCACGCTAACCCACTTGACCTCACTCATCCGTCAGAGCCAGGAGTAGACCCCAGGAGTCCAGATTCCTGTTCATCTGCTCAAACTGCTAAACCAGTTCCCCGGAGCTAAGCATGGAACCCAGGAATCCGGACTCTTCGTCCCGCACACCCCCTCTAGCACACTTCGCCCCCAGCCAGGAATAGAACCCAGGAGTCCTGGCTCCCAGTCCCCCTCCCCGCTCTTACCAAATAGCCCCCACACTTTACCTTCGCTCTAGGGTATTTCGTTGCAGTATCAGGGGGCAGCAGGTTTGGACGGGGCCTGGGGGAATTCCTCTGACTTGGTCCGTCCCAGCCGCTCTTCCTGTCCTCTGGGAACGCCCCCGAGGCTGGGGGGCCGATGCTCATGCTGGCCTCTGGAAGGTCAAAACGCACCTGACTTTAGACTTCCCTTGCTTCTGGGTGGAAATCAGGCACGGAGAGAGAGGCAGGTGGGGTGGGATCAGTGGGGGAGGCATGATGGGCAGTTGGGGGGCACAGGTTGGGGGTCAGTGTGCATGTGGGGAAATCCCCTGAAGGAATCGCTTCCTGCGGGGTATCATCCTGGATTCACAGCCCTCAGCAGCCCCCTGAAAAGCACCCGGCAAAGGGGCAGAAGGTTAGCCTGCCCTGCGCCCATACATCCAGCCAGCCAGCCAGGCCGCCATGGCACCACAGTCGGGACACCATGGCCATTACGTGGGAGGGAGTTGGACGGCTCAGGCTAGAACGAATCTTCCCTCGTGGCCACTGGTTCAAATCCCACCCAAGGCTCTCTGTTCCCTGTGCGGGCTAGGTGGGGGGGCCTTATGGGAGGCAGGGCCAGGTCACAAAACCCACCCCTGTTGTCCCTGCCTCATTCACAGCCGGATCCCAGAGGCTGGGAGATGGAGCGCCCTTCTGCCCCAGAGCGGGTGCAGCTCCCTGGGCTGGGCACTTGGAGGGTAAGCAGAGAATATCAGAGCAGTGAATCTGGCCCCTTTCGCCAGCATTAAGAGTGGCCCATGCCCTAAAGTAAGTAGAATCCCCCACCACCCACCAAGGGTAATAAACTAGGCACCTACCTGGGACATAGGCATCGCCCCGGAGCTGGTCCGAGAGCTCTCCCCAGTCCTGGGATCCCAGCGTGGCTGCCCGGTGTCTTTTCACCAGGAAAGCCTTTGGCATGGCGGATGCACTTACAGGCTTAGCCAGGGAAGTTCTCAGCAGTCCCCGTGGACCATTCCCCCACCTCGACGTTCCTTGTCCGACACCCCGTTGCCAGGAGTAATAGGGGCGCCGGGGAGCAAGTAGAAATGGGAACGCCTTTGGTACAGGCAGGCGGCAACACGGGGTCTAGTGATCGAGAAGCAGCCGATCGCAAAGAGCACCGAGCATCTTCAAAGAACCACGGATGCGTCATGCTCCCCCCAAGGTGGCACGGTCTCCATTTTACAGATAGAGAAAGTGAGGCACAGAGAAGGGGAACTGACTCCGTCAAGCTCTCAGGACCCAAGAGTCCAAGCTCCCAGCCCCCCTGCTCTAACCACTAGACCCCACTCCCCTCCCAGAGCTGGATAGAACCCAGGAGT